ATGTATGTATACATGCACCACAGTGATTTATGGTATTGGACACTTTCTTTCAGAGGCTCGTGCTCCAGAGGGCCTGGATATAAGAGCAGCTTTCAGACGCACGTAAGTTTTATTTAAAAAAAATAAAATAAAATAATAATATATGTCATTCCAAGAATAAACAAAGTGATGTGACATTTTTAAAAAGATTTTAAAAAGTAAATTGTTTATATGAGTTGTTCATTGAGAGTTTAACTTCCTCATCCCATTTCTTTAATGTCACAGCTATAAAATTCACATTCCCTTTATAAAACTATTTATAATCCATTAATCAGTCACACTTTTTCTTCAATTTTGTATTACCAGGCTGACTATATTTTAATAAAAGTGAAATATTGTCATATGTGAAGGGTACATTTTGATACATTTTTTGTGATCTGTTTTCTGTAATCTCGTTTTATAATCAGAAAACCATTTTATTTTGGATTTGTTTCATATGAACAAGCCAGTTTTTGCCCTCTGTAGAAAAATACAGAATATTTCTAAACAGTCTAAAGATGGCTATTTAAAGTGTGAAGGAAGGACTGAATTATTTCATTAGATGAGCTGGAGTAATTACTTCTGCATGTTTTCGGTAGATAACAGAAACACTGAAAACCACTTAAGTACCCATAGGCAGATATATTTTTGCACATGCTTTAAATCAGAGTCAATGGGGAACAAAACTGCTGCCATCACTTTGCTGTCAGCTTTGTGTATGATAGCGAGGACTCAGTAGATTATAAAGTCAATGCACAAGTACAGTTGCTAATAAACTGCAGTGGATTATGGCTGTCTGTGAAAAATAACTGTGGAAATGCTAACCTGTCAGGAGTGAAGGCGGTAAGAAGAGAAGTGGACCAGGAGCAAGGTAGTAAAGGTGTTTGTTGCAGCAATTGAGGCCTGTATTCAAACTCTGAGGACTTTGTTAAAGAACAGAGAAATCAGGATGCAGATCAGAGACTCCTCTCTCTTCTGCAGCCTGCCTTTTCTCTGCCAAACAAACCCAGTGTTGTGAATGATACGGCCTCCCTTTTGCAGATTTTTGAGAACGACAACAGAAGGAAGACCTTGAGAGAGAGCTAAGTGTGGGACTCAAATTCAAAATCCAGAATGCAACTGCTAATTATAGCTGCGATTGTGTTAATCTTCGGCTCTCCATATGTGGAGATTTGAGCTATTAAACTGTTAAGTGACATGCCGCTAGTTGCATCTGTCAGCTCCCTCTGATCTCCTCCTGGGTCTTCATCAAAACACCAAAGCCAGCTGCACAAACAGCTACATGGCAGAGTGAAATTGGATGGTGGTTTGATCATACTGAAAGTGCAGGATGTGCTAAGACACAGGCTTTTCAGTAGCCGAGCTCTTCCATAAGGGGTTGCCACACAGAGGAAGTGCAGCTATGGTGTGTTGTAACTCCACCGCATAAACCAGAGACTCACCTTCTAATCCTGCTGCCGGGTCACAGGCAGGAGACAAATACACAGTCACGTCTACTGTGCCCTTGTTTTTATCTGTTATCCCACTCATGAGCAGCAAACAGAGCCTATACCGTACGGTGACTTGTGTTTGCTTTAACCTTCAGTGTTTTGCTTTGTTCTTGCGTGAATGAATGCTGCTGCTCATGGCTTGAAGAACAGTTCTATAGTTTTGGGAAATACAACTTTTTGACTTTGTTTCCAGAAATGAAGTAAAGTTATCCTAATGTAACAAGAATGGAAGGAGATGTAAACGGCTTGCCTCGATGCCTTAGGCATGACTGGCTTTGCTGTTTTGCTCTTTGTTAAAAGATGCTGGTATAAGACAGATACAGCCATTCCGCAAAAACAAGAACACCATCTTGTGTAATTTCTTAGTAAACTTCCATGTAGTAAACTATTTGAGTTTCAGCAGGGATTATAGTCACATTCAGATGCACACTGGCAGCTGTGGGCACCACAGTTGAGCAGTTATTCCTGTTAAACTTTTCCAAGTCTGCTTCGAGTCCGGCTGGACTCATGAAGCCGGTATGCAGTATTTGTGGAGCTTTGTGTTTCCACCTACAATAACTGGACCAAACAGACCCCGACCCCCCTGACTACACCAGCATAAATAAATGTGTATTTCCCAAAATGAAAGCTGCTTCCTTAAACATGGCAACATCTGTCTTTCCAGACAAAAACATCTGCCTGCACTTCACATCTTTCCATTTGTTTTCTTTTAGTTTCGGCGTGTCCAATCCAGTTTTTTTTCTTCCAACATTTTGATATGCAAGTCTCTCCCTTGCATATTCGAGTAAACAGGAAATGATTTACCGAGTCTGGGAATGTGGATTTGTTTTATTTAAAATAGACTATTTCTGTTTAGTAATAACATTTACTTATTGAAGAAATGAGAAAAAGGTAACCTACTGGGTTGTTGATATTTTCTGATTCCTGCAGTAGCACAGACGGAAATGATGACTCAGGAGAGCTGGACTTCAGTACTCTATTAAAAAAGAGGTAAGCAATTACAAACTAATAAACAAAAAAATTCTAATTATTTATAGTCTTTCAGCTTTTGTTGTTGTTTTTTTGGGGGGGTTGCCCTTTATAATCTAAAACTCTCACGCTTTCATTCCTTCTGGATCTCCTTGCATCTTCAGAGAGTAAGCTACTTCTGCATTTGCAAACTAAAAGTCGGAATGATCACGGATCTGCAACCAAATAAGCCTGAACACAAATTAACAATGCACAGTGATAATTTAAGGTGGCATGATGTGTTCATTATCTCCGAGCTTATACATTTGTCTGTCACGCAGAATAGAAAAAAGTGTTACCATTTTTTAAACGTATACACATGATTTTCCATCACATAACATCCTGAGTCACTTTGTCAGATCCCATTGTTTTTCCTGACACTTTAAATAAATCCCCTGCTCACCACTGTCACAGCCCCGAAGATCATTTCACTCAGTCTATAATAAGTCTGACAATACTTCCACCTCCGTGCACCTACATTTTTCTTTGAAAGTCTTCGGGGTTAACACATGTCACATCCCTAAAACCCGCATATATGCCTCACTATAAGCAAACCCTGTGTTAAAATTCAAACAATGCATGCTTTGTTAGCATATGAGTCATTTTTGACTGACGTTGTGACTCAGGTTTAGCGTGTGCACGATTGCTTCAGTGCATTTTAACCATTGTAATGATATTTAATGTGCTTTAAAAGCATATTTCTAATTTGCTGATTGCATTGCTTTTGAAATGCTGTGTTTTAACTTTTCTGGTTTGTTTTGCCATATTTGCCTCTTGGGCTCTACCTCTGAATGAGCAGCAGTTTCTTAAAACCCTCAAATCGGTAAGAAACTGCTGACACGTTGTCTGAATGTCACTGGGAAACTTCTTATTGTTCTGTGTTACGTGTTTTTTTCCCCCCATGACAGCAAACATTTGACTGCAATAATTAATAGTAACGCTGAAATCACGATCATTCTTAGCTGATTAAGTGCTGCTAGTCTATTACAGAAGCATAAGCAAGAGTCAGTCATTTTGACAGTATGTAAAACAAATGCATAATAATTCCCCATTACATGATGCACAGAGCAGGCAGACGGAGTTAAACAAAACTTTACTCAGGAGGCAGTCTCACACCAAACAAGACATCAGCAGCAAGTAAGCAACAAGGAAACAGATGACAGGTACACAGAGGTACACAAGCAGTGTGCACAGCTTAGTTAATCCAAGGTATGAAAAGGAGACATTCTCATTTGTAGTGAAACTGCTCTAAAGAAAAAGAAAATGCACATTTTATCTTATTTTGATACAAATATGTTGATATTAATGTTTAATGGGGATCATATTTGCTAGGGAAATTTAAGCATCTCATAGTTTTTCACATCTATAACTTTTATTAACAGTGACACTCTCATATGGAAGGTGAACAGCGCAACTGGACTGTATGAAAGTAATGAATTTCAGGCCTCAATTATGGTGCAAGGGAAAGCTGTTTTCTCTATTTCTTTTATCTATATTATTTCTGCCTCTTTTCTGGCAGCCAGTTCTTTATTTAATGGGGTTAGGCAAGTAGTTTAGGTGCCTAAACATAACCAAATAAATAAATAAGTTCACATAAAATTTAAAAAAGTAAAAAAAGAAGAAGAAGAAATACAAAGTAGGTATATATGGAAATATAGTACTACAAGTAAGTCAAACTCTTGCCATGCCTTCACCACCACTTTAACCTTTTTTTCAATCATCAAGTTTTTTGTTGTCTTCACTACCAAATATAATTTAGTAGCGAAGATAATACATTGTTATGAAGCAGGGTACAGGGCTGTGGTTCAGGAGGTAGAGCAAGTCATCGACTAACCGGAAGGTTAGTCATAAAATCCCTGGCTGCTCAAACTTGATATTGAACCCTGAGTTGAAGAATGACCATGAGAGAGAAAGCATTTAGGCGAGGGGAAAAAATGCTCGTTTAAATGTGTCTGTAAATGAGACATGTTGTACAATGCACTTTGAATGCCTAAGTAGGACAAAAAAGTGCTATATGAGAAACTGTCCATTAACAGCAGCACAAAAAATGTGCATGGGGAGCTTCATAGAAAGCCTTTCTCAGGTGGCTCAGTAATTTAGTTCATGTAGTTTGTAATACTCCTAAATTCTTGAAATTAGCTTTACAATAACTACAAAATGAGATCAAGCCCATAATGACACAACAGGAGATTACAAAACACAATCGATATCGATCTGTTTAAGCTAATTGTTAGCTACAAGTCTGTAAACAATCTACTAAAGTGACTCTTGAGCGGTTGCTTGTTAGTTTTTCAGTATCGAATAATGAACTGATGCATGCGATATCAATGAATCTGACTGTGTCAGTTTTGCCAGTGTGTTACAGTGACTGTCCCTGTTTTAACAGCCTGCTTCTTTTCACTCATTTGTGTCACTCAAGTGGTTTTAACATCTCTGTCTTTGTGTGTTAGAACCGTGCAGGTGCACACAGAGACCGATGTGGATGTGTGGAACATCCTCAGCCAGGCTCCTCCTACTGAATATGAAAAGATTGCTTTTCAGTACGGAATCACCGACCTGAGGGGCATGCTCAAGAGGCTGAAGAAGATGAAGAAAGATGAAAAGAAAAGTGAAGGTTGGTGCGCTGAGATAGTAGCAAAACTAACACAATTTAAATGAAAACCTAACAGAGACTGATTATTTTATTTTATTTATGCTCTGAAACACAGCTTTCCTCAAAAAGCTGGATCCTGCCTACCAAGTGTCAAAGGGCCACAAAATAAAACTGGCTGTTGAGGTTGCCAATTCAGATATTGAGGTGAAGTGGCTGAAAAACGGGCAAGAAATTCAACCAACTGGAAGGTCTGAATACACCCTACCTGTGCACCTTTGCTAAGTTTTATTTTTATAGATGCAAGTATTTTGTCTTAACTCATGCCTCAGTTTGCGGGGTGAGCTGAGGGATACTTAAAATGCATGCAGCCTTCTGAATGAGAAAGTGAACGCTGTTTTATTTCTAAAGTTTTAAATAACTCTGCAAAAAAATAATCTGGTTTTTAGCAGGTCTTAAAATTAGTTAAATACAATTAAAGTCAGATGAACAACAGCACATATTATACATTATACTGTGTCAGTATTTATGTAACAAAGATTAAGGTGTGATGGAAGAGGAGTGTGTGGAAAAACTAAGTAACACTTCCACAGGAATTTGATTGATCATCGGTAAATGTGAGCGGCTTTATAAAAGCAGATGTTTTGGCAGTTTCTAGATCTGGAGCATTCAGATATATTTTAACACAATGAGAAGCAGGAAAGAAAACATCAGTGATCTTAGAGAAGCTATCATTGTTGCACATCAATCTTCACTTCAAACACATTAAAGTCTGTCATTCTGCATTGGGGAAGCGTATATTCAGTTGTAAAACATTTAAAACAGCTGCCGATTTTCCCACGAGTGGACGTCCCATCAAATTCACCCCAAGGCAGAAAATTTGGAAAAACCCAACAACTACAACTCAGACTCTTACATGTTAAATGCTAAAGTTTGTTACAGTACAATCAGAAAAAGACTGAACAAGGCTGGCTTGCTTGGAAGGGTTGCCAGGAGAAAGTCTCTTCTTTCTAAAAAGATCTTGGCAGCATGGATTAGGTTGCATAGTTGCATCTCAACAAACCACGAGACTTCTGCAACAATGTCCTCTGGACAGACGAGACCAAAGTGAAGATGTTTAGCCATGTGGTGGAGGGGGTGATGATTTAGGGTTGTTTTGCAGCCGCAGGAATTGCAGTCACTGAATCGACCATAAACTCCTCTGTGTACCAAAGTGTTCTGGAGTCAAATATGTCAAAATTGCCAAAACTGGGCCATGCAAAAGGACAATGATCAGCAAAAGAATCAAGGTGTTGCAATAATCCAGTCAAAGTCCAGACTTCATGGGCATAAATAAATGCCCACAAGCCTCAATGACCTGTATTAATGTTGCAAAAAAGTGGGTCAAAATTCCTCCACACCAATGTGAAAGCCTGATAAAGTCATGCCGAAAATGATTACTTCACATTATTGCAACTAATGGTCTTTCCACAAGCTATTGAATCATGGGCTGTGCTTAGTTTTCACACACTGCTTCTGCATTTTGCAGTTCTTTTTAATGTGTTGTTGTTCATCTGAAATTCTATTTAAATCATTTTAGAAGATGCTCAGGGTGGCTTTTTATTATATTCTGTTGCAAAACTTTAGGAAGAACATACTTAACTATATTACTGATTGTTTTTCATTTCTCTCTTTTGCCTCTCCATGACCAACTTCCCTAATTTGTGCCTTTATTGCGTCATTTGGTTAAATCGATAGCAAGTAAGTGTCATAAGTAATACAAAACATTTCCTTTCCTTCTCACACGCTATATTGTGGTTTTAAAAAACAAATAAAAACAGTGTTTTCATTGTATGATAATCTTCCTCCCTGTCAAGGTACATATTTGAGAGTGTTGGCAACATGCGGTACCTCACCATCAACCACTGCTCCCTGGCAGATGATGCAGCGTATTCCTGTAAAGTGGGAGATGAGAAGTGCACCACTGAGCTCTTTGTTAAAGGTATTCGATGTTTTGAGAACATTCACAACATACCCGTTCCAGCACAGGTATGCAAAAACAGAGATGTTCAGCTAAATCACATGTTCTTATCTGTTTTGTGCAGAGCCTCCTGTCCTGGTAGTGAAAAATCTGGAGGATCAGATGGTCATGAAGGGTGAGCGGGTGGAGTTAGAGTGTGAAGTCTCAGAGGAAGGAGCAAATGTTAAATGGTTAGATGTTTTTCTTTACACTCATGGCTAAGCAGCCAGTAACTGATCATCCATGTCCCAATTTATAAAAAAGTGAATAATCATTATTAAATAAAATAAATGAATCATGACTGAATAAAAAAGTATTCAAAATGCCATCTACCATTAAATTATATTTAATCGGGTTAAATTTAGGCTCTCTTTTAATTTGCTGGATCCTTAACAGTTGCTCAGACACCCCACAGATGGCATCTGAGGATGTCATGTCTGCAGATAGATACCAGGCCTCAGAGACTGTGAAGTGTTGCTACAAGCTGTGAATTATCATCTCAATGAAAAGGTTGCATGAGCCATTCAGTATGTCCCTCATGACCTTTACCCGAAGAAGAAAGTTGCTGCTACAAATGTATACAAGCTATTATTGTCTGGCCAGTGTAGGTTTGTTGAAACAAAGTACAAAGATTAAATGTATCAGATATACCACCTCTGTATTACAGTTCTCTGTGGTTCTATGTATTCCTGAATTACCTGTTAATCTGAAAGGTCACCTTGTGTATTTAATGGAGTGACGCAAGTAGACCTAAACCTGCCAGTAAATTGAGCGAAGGAAATGTGTGATTGTGTAACTAAAATGCTAAAAAAACAAAAAGAAACAGGTGGATGTAACAAAGTGAGAATCATCTGAAAGTTCCAACTTTTGCTAAAGCGATAAAATAAGTGTATAACACAGGACTGCAGCCAAAATGCTTCAAACAAATAGTCAAACCTGAATTCTTTTGCAAAAATGGCCCAAACTGGCATGTGTATTAATTTGTACATGGTCCATCTAACTAAACAATGTATCCCATTTGTTGAAGTTGGGCTCATGTGAATTCAAATTGGATCAATTCTGAAATGCAATGTAAACTTTCTAACTTAAGATATTGTCTTTATTTCACCTATTGACCTGTACTCTGACCTTGGATTCTGAAAGCAGGAAATCTGTAATGTTGCAATCTAAAGTTACATGTTGTTTAAAGTGTAACACCCAGAATAATATTTTAAATTTTGTTCCACCGCATACTATGAAAAGTACACAAAAACTCACCAATGAAATGCACTGAACCATAATCAGACATGTTGCTAAGTGATGAAACCAACGCGTGTGTCATAATATTTTTAAGTGATGAAACAGATGAAATTTCTAAATGTCAAAACATCCCACAGGTCAGTGCTAAACCACCTAACATTGAAATATTAATCATTCAAGCTCTTTTATCTCAAGGGATGACTCAGTTATGTGTCTAAACATAGCAGGCAACTAAGCAAAGAAGTAATTTTAACTGTAACTCTTTAAGCTTTTTGTTACTAGCAGCCTGTTGCAAAAATAAGTAGTTTGTGGTGCGTGGTATGCAGTGTGTTCTTAAAAAATCTGAGGAATTTGGGCAAGTGGAGGACAAAAAAAGAAAGAACCTGGCTTAAAAAAATGTCTGCAGTAGATTAACAATATCTGACAGTCGTGTCCTTAAGATACAGGGGAAATGTCAGCTAAGCCCTGACACTGGCCCTTCAGTTGATCAGTCTAGTGTTCATCAAATCCTCATCACAAATGGTCTCGGTGGAAGTTTGGCTGACAAGAAGTCATTCTTGAGGAAGTGAAACAGGATAAAAAGAAGCCTGAGATTAGCGAGTTTACCTCAGTTGGACAGAAAGTAAGGTCTGATGAAGTGATGAATCCATATTAAAATTTGTGGGTACAAATAATCATCAGTGCATATGGAGGAGGTCAGGAGAGAGCTTCAACAGTGAGTATCTGCAGCCATCTGTAAAGCACGGTGGAGGCTCTGTCATGGTTTTGGGACTGCATTTCAGCCAATGGTGTTGGGGATCTTGTCAAAATGGAGAAAGATTGATGAATTAAATACTGATTAAATACAGAAAAGTATCCTCAGATTTTGATTTAGTGTGCAGTGCCAACTTACTTACTGTGATTTTGCCTTATGCTACATTTCCACATATGTTGGCACATGGTTTAGTAACATGTTTCACCATCTATTTACCATTTTCCTAGCAACATATTATGTACTGTACATAATAAGATGCAAAATGTAACAAAAATCTAACGTCTAGCCAATTAGCTGTTTTAATTGTCATACTAGGATTCAGTGACATCAACATCCACAAGACGTAGTGCATTTTACCTCAAAAGTAGGCAACCTCTGAAAAATGGTTGAGCAGTGTAACTAGCTCTTTTTATCTGAAACGTTTCACCATGTTTGTTGATCATATTAATTTTAATTGTGGTTTTAATTTCTGTTCAGGGAGAAAGATGGTGTGGAGCTGACAAGAGACGAATCTTTCAAGTATCGCTTCAAGAAAGACGGCTGCAAGCATGTGCTGATCATTAACGAGGCCACCAAAGAAGACTGTGGCCACTACAAGGTTAAAACAAACGGTGGCGAATCTGTGGCAGAAGTCCTGGTGCAGGGTGAGTGTCAGTTACGCCGTACAAACCATATGAACCATTTTTGTCAGTGATGAATTTTTCAAGGACGCATTCCCATACCTTACCAATAGCTCCGTGGCCTTGCCACTCTTGGTATGTGGTCTATCTTTAGGATATAGCACCTATCATTGTCCCAAGGTTGCTCCACAGATGTAAGAGCACATGTAAGCTAAAGTTAGAAGACATATATTTCACCTAAAGGGCAAAGAGTACTTTGTGGTTTGAAAGTATGTTTTATTATTAGATGGTAGATTTTCCTCTAGTACCAAGTCACAGCAGCTCGGTGATGCTGATGTAGGATCCCCGCTGGGCACAACTGAATTTTGTAAGTCTCCTTTTGAGAAATTAGTTAGATTTGGAACCTTTTTTTTCAATAACATGATGGTCTTTGGTATATTCAAGACAACTGTCTCTTTGAAGGTGATTAGATATTTTATTTTTAATTCCACAGGTGATCTAGAAATAATGGATGGAGACTGTTCAAACTCATCCATACATGGACGTAGGCAAAATTCATTTTAAAAAATCTAGTTAGTTTTCCCTGTAACCATTTTAGCTCCATTATCTCACAGAACAAAACATTCATCAAAATCCCTCTAAAAGAAAAGATTATCACACAATGGTCATCAACATCTGCTTAAAATTTCTTCACATTATATTGAATATGCATGCTCTCTCCTTTGCATATGTTGTTTTTTTGTGTGTGTGTGTGTGTTTCAGAGGTGTGTGTAGATATAAACCTGATCTTTGCCTCTTTGTTGGCCTTTTAATTGAACAGCGAGCCTGCCAAGAATTACCAGCTGCTATCGTGTTGCAGAGATCAACACCTCAGTCCACAGTAGAGCTCCCATTATAATGCCATTGGACATTCCCATCATATATGCCCTACCTAGCAGTGAGCTGACGTGAAACTGTTGTAACCTTTAAATGGAGCGCGGTGTGAGATATCTCACCCAGATAACAATTTCCCTGGGACAACTTTAATAACCCTCTTGTACATTATTTCATCTGATATACAGTAATAACCCGAAGCTCCTGCATATGGTCCTCATATCCTCATATCTTGCCACTTTATTTTCTACTATAAATCTAATTAACTATTCCTCTTGTGTCTGTAGCTAAGATACAACACACAGAGGAGACCCTCATGCTCAAAATCATTATCACATTATCCACGCGTACAGTCGCTGGAGCTTTTATTTTTTTTAATCATATTATCCTCACAAGCTATCAACTAAACCTGGCGTCTCATAAAGCAGAAGGCCTGCTGTTATCTGCACTCTGAGCCTGTGTTTTCTGAACATGTAGAGAAAGAGCTGGAAGTCTACCAGAGCATCGCAGACCTCACAGTGAAGGCAAAAGATCAGGCGGTTTTCAAGTGCGAGGTGTCAGATGAGAACGTGAGGGGAACCTGGTACAAGAATGGCGTCGAAGTCAAGCCTGATGCCAGAGTGAACATCACGCATATTGGCAGGTGAGGACATGTTTGCACGTGGTAATGCGTGTTCGGTATGCTGCCTGCACTCCATGACGCCACAAGCTAAAGTTTTTGACCCCGTAGGATCCACAAACTGACCATTGATGACGTCAAACCGGAGGATGAGGGGGACTACACATTTGTGCCAGATGGCTATGCTTTCAACCTCTCTGCTAAACTAAATTTCTTGGGTAAAATGTGTGCTTTTATATTCTTACACTTTAAAATTAGAGTCTCTTTAGAGACTCACATGTTCAAATTTTACTTAAATAACTTATTTAATTGTTTTTTTCTTGATTTCCAAGAGGTGAAGATTGATTATGTGCCACGCCAAGGTACACAGCCACCAACTTACGCAGATTGTACCAGTCATAATACAAAATATTTTTCCATTTTAACCATTTACATTACATTCACAGATCCTCCTAAGATCCACTTAGACTGTATGGGTCGCACCGCCGAGTCAACCATTGTGGTGGTGGCTGGCAACAAACTACGTCTGGACGTCCCCATCACTGGAGACCCAGCTCCAACAGTGATCTGGACCAAAGGAGAAAAGGTAAGACAAATGGAAGGCTTGTGCTATTAATGATTAATTAAGACATGTGCCACCAGTCCAGAGTTATATAGGTAAGATTTGAAATCTGGAAAAAAAACCCCACTTCATTCATTACCAAAGACACACTGATCAATCACAACATTAAATCACCTACGTGACAGCGTACAGGTCACTGTTGTGCCACCAAAACTGTTCTGACCCAGGTGAGACCTCCGAGGTTGGATAGCGGAGCCTACAAGCTCAATTTGATTGAGATACAGGGATCTCAGAAGCCAGGAAAAAAGATCTTTTTGTTTGGTTTTGCTGGGTGAGGTGGCTGGCTGCCATCGGGGAGTGCTATCATCATGGGGGTGCATGTCCTTAAATAATGTAACTGCAGTGCAATGAGAAGATGAATGTTGTTCATTTTACCTGTCTGCAGTTTCAGTGTTGTAGCTGATTAGTTTATATTTGTAGCTGATTATTTTATATTTGAAAGACATACTAATACTGCATTTTAAAAATGAATGCAACAATATGTTACATGCTTCCAATATTAAACAAGCCAAGGAGGTATATTTTCATCAAATTGCTTTTGATAATCTAAAGTGGAACAGGCTAGTTCTTCCATATTCCATATTCCATTCCTCCCTGCTTTGGCTTGTAAACTTTGATGCTTTCACCGAGCTGAGTAAGCACAGTGCTGCTAATGGCTTCCAACAGTGATGCTAGCTGTAGTTTGCAAGTCTTTGATTTGAGGGGACCCTCTCTGTCCTCTTTGGCTTTTAAGGCTTTGCTCTGCTCAAATGTAGGCTAGTTCTGTAAAACCCGGTGGAGATGACAAAGGAGGGCATACAACCTCTTGGACCACGAAGGATGGGGAAGTAAGTGTACTTTTCATTATATGCTTATTTTTTGTTTGTTTTTTTTCACTCACGCCAGCACTGCCAGCGCATGCCTCAGTTTCTACGCATGTGCACTTGCTGACCTTTACAAGCTTTTGTGACACATAAACAGTAACGTCACATTTCATGCATTTAGATTTGCAAATGTATTGTAGAAATGTGCTGTAAACCTGCTGTCTTACAGCTTGAGCTTTGAAAAGACTTTAACAAGAAAACCTCAAAGAGCAGAAGTAACAATTGTAAACTAATACATGGATTTTCTTAAAAACACTTTCTCCAGTGAATACCATGGTTTTTTTCCTTCCTCTGTGTCAGTTTTAAGCACTAAGAACAGGATAAAACTGCATGCAGAGTTCATCCATGTCACTAAGGTAAGAGCATGTTATGACTCTTCCCTAAGACAGACAGAGGGCACAGGAGGCTGAGCAGCAAGTACAATGTGTACAGTATGGAAAAGGTATAAACCATGTGAGCATGAAAACGACATTTGGAAGCTCTCTTGCCACAAGGGGTCACGACAGCAGGTAGTTCCACACGTCTGATTTGGCAGAGTTTTTTGCCTGATGTGACTCCAATGGGGATATTTGTATCTAGTTGAAAATGAGCTAGCAACCTTTTGTTTGGCAAGCAAATGTGTTAACTGCTACACAACTGGAGATAAAATATGCAACTAAATACTAGATTCCAACACTAAATGTAGTAATTGAGAAATATTGTCAAGGTATAATATTAAGTTTGTCATAAAGGAAGCAAGAGCAGCATCACCTCAATCCGGTATTGGTCAAGAAAAAAATTCAAATGGTTAATACTATCAGTCAGACCAGTATGTTATATTAGCATTTTAAAGTTCACCTACTCTGAGACTTAATCTGAAGGTTTTTTACTTTCTATTTTAAAAAAAATAAGAGGAATTAATTAGCTCATGAAATTCGATTTCAAATTAGATCTTCAAGTTGTAAAGCAGCAAATTGACATGCTAAATTGTATATTCATGGAAATAATAATGAAAGCATTCAGTGTCTGCATTTATAATAGCTGATAAATGACTTCAACAAAGTCAAGAAGAAAGGGGAGAAACACCCTTCAAATACGTTATGAGAGTTGAATTTGCATGGTTTGTCCACTACAGGGCACTCTGCAATTTCCTTGTCAGCGACACATGTTTGCAACACTACAAACAACCAGCAGATGTGAGCAGAGTGAGGCAAAGTGTAAAAAAAATATAATTTTAACAAATATTAACCACACAAATGGCAGTGTAAAATATTAGCTGATACACTTGGATTTTTTTTTTTTTAAATCAGCAAATATTGTTATTTGTATTCGTCTTAAAAGTCATAATTGATCCGGCTACAACTATCATTTTTAAGAAAGTGCAGCACAAATTCCCCAAAAAAAACTTTGCTCAATATAATCGAGTAACTTTCATGGTTGTCCTCATGTAGGTCGTCACAGAGGGAGATGGTAGGGTCCATGTGGAAACCACCAAGGGCCACTGCGTCTTCACTATTGAGTGTGCTGAAAGGCAGGATGAGGGAATCTACTCTGTTGTGGTTCGAAACCCTGCTGGGGAAGATACAGCAGATATCCACGTGAAAGTTGTCGGTAAGACATCTTTTATCATTATTCTCTCTACCAAAGCCCCAGCAATACCAATTAACACACACCAACAGCCATCAAAGTTGTAAATTTATGAAATTTATCTATGAATGTCAAACTTTCTTCTGACAAAAAGAAGAGTAATGTTTCTCCTCCAGATGTTCCTGATCCTCCCATGGCTCCCACAATCCTCAGTGTGGGTGAAGATTCCTGTGTCGTTCAGTGGGAACCCCCTCTGTTGGACGGTGGCCAGCCAATAATTGGTAAAAATAACTTCTAATGGGCTTTATTTCATAATAATATGAGCCATTTTCTTTTTGCATCTTCCTTTATTTTTCCTTGGAGACACCAAGCCAATGGCAACACACATTTGAATTTGCAGGGTATGTGCTGGAGAGAAAGAAGCTGAAGAGCTACAGGTGGATGAGACTCAACTTTGACCCCTACCCTGAAACCACCTATGAAGCCAAGCGTATGATAGAAGGTGTGCCGTATGAGATGCGAGTCTATGCTGTGAACAGCATTGGTATGTCTCGTCACAGTCCAGCCTCTCAGCCATTTGTGCCAATCGGTGAGTCTGTGAATTTATCTTTAGATTAAATAAACAGAAATAATTGCAACACTGAAATGGATAAGTGGATGTTCCATTTTCATTCAGGTCACTTTCATGAAAAGGTTGATTGATGAGTTGTCTTGGTTGTAAAGACAGATTGTGATAACATTGGCATGTTTGACTTGAATAAGTTGGGTCATGCAAGTTCCAGTGACTTAGTCAGTCTAACGTTTCACTCAGGTCATAGGGCTAGGGTGACTTGTAATGTGGTCATGAGTTCAGGGTCTGTGAACTGCGCATGTAACAAATTAAAAAACAAAAACATGATGATGCAAAGATCATCTCTGAGTTAACTCAGGAGTACAGAGCATGTCTGTTGGCTATAAGGAAGAAGTGGCATTTCTGTGGTATAACGCAAACATGAGTAAATAGTCACTGAGACACCGAACGCATGTCAGGCTCCTATGATATTGATTTAGAATGGACTTTTAATTAAAACGATTGATAGTCTATGACTAGTTCATCAATAGTCTACTGGGCTGTAGGCACACCAGTTCAGCTCCTGGGCTCCTCTTCTCCAAATCTATGCGGCTGTACTAGATGCAGTATGCAGTTTAGCATTGTTTTACTGAAATATATGACATAATCTGGATGGGAGCATGTGTAGCTCTAAAATCTGTATATACAGACTTTAGAGGCATTGATGGTGCCTTGCCACATGTGCAAGTGCCCAGTTCCACAGCCAAACAAGGTTTGGAGTTAGATGCAATCTTTATGACTGTCATTTTTCATTCAGCAGGTCAGGTTTTAGTTGTCTTTTATTGTGGCACTAATTTATCTAAACTGCAATCTTATCCTACACTTGTTGATTTAAGAGGGAGCATCAGTGTATCCAGATGGTCAGTCACTCCTAAGACAGCTGATTGGGAAACTATCCATGGCATCCCTCTCTATAAATAATGGCCTGGAAGCCCTTGACTCTGCTGGGACCAGCTGCTTAACACACAGGGGGGTCACTGCTTCTGTGGAGGCTGCTGCAGAACAAGCATCGTTATTACAACAAAGACAGCAGGACGAGAAGAGAAGACTGTCAATGAGAGAAAGAAAAAGACCACGTTGAAGAAGCAGATACAACCACCAGTTTAAATTAACAGCAGGACGTCTATGCACCGAGGAAAAATATATATGACAAAGGCTAAGCTCTCAAAGACGGCTGAGAAGAAGCCAGTGGAAGATAAGAAGTCTTTGGAACCTGTGGAAGAAACGGCAGCTGGGGCTCCAGAGAATGCACAAGCAAACTGTGAACACAGTAAAGCTGAGACAGAGGCACCTCCACCTCCTGATGCAGAACAGGAACCTGGAGCCAGTAGTGCAGAGGCAGCACCCAGTGGAGAAGAGGGAGCACCAGCTGAGGATGAAACACCAGCAAAAGGTGTCACTCTGACAGAAAGTGGTTCTCCTGCAGAGGAAGCTGCAGCCCCAGCAGTGCAGACCCCCGTGGAGCCTGCTGCTGCCGCTGAGCCAGACCCACAGCCTGTTTGCAGTAGGCATTGTTTTGATTTAGGATTTTAGGATGTGATTTTTATTTGATTTTATTTTTTGTTGGATTATCATGCAGGTTTTAGAAAAAGGTTCAATCCACACTAGCAAAATTATTATGGTCATAGCTGACTGTATATTTAGGTCATGCTGGCAGTGAATTTTGATTAAGTAAATATTTGTCAGTGCACTGACTGCTCATCAAATCATTCCCTAACACGTGTACTGGCTGTGCAACACACACAGAAATAGTCACACAATATTTAAAACTTTACACATTTGGTTTCTACGTGTTTAAGGGCAAGATGGAGTAGCTATTCAGTTTGTTCATAGCTCCACATATGCTTTCAGTTTGTCCTCAGAGTGATAACAATAGGGCTAAGCTAGCCACTAAATCAGTTCCTCCTCTGTTTCACACAAATTCTAATTAACCCATTGAAGCTGTTCTTCTAACTGTCCTCCTAAAAGAAAAGATTCGATCCAAAGATGTAAGGCCGAAAATCGATCATCTTGGTCTCTATGGATGAGAGACTCCCAGGCAAAAGAGCTGTATAGCGCTCCAGAGCCACAGGTCTGAAATCACGTGTCACACAAAGTATCACAGCCACTTGGACTTTAGCCTGGCAAGTCGAGGTCAGTCATATTCACAGACTCATATTTCACTGGATGGAAAATTATGCCTAAATCTGGCTTATGGGCTAAACGGCCATTTGATAACTAATAACATTTAATATTTAATTAATATGTCTTTGTTGTTCAAGTTAGGACAGGATTAGGCAACCTGACGCTGATTTTCATTATTGGAGATGAAGATTGTGCTAAACCCTGTGGACTATATAAGACCAATAGCTCATCTTCACATTCCTCCCACTACAGCTGCCTGAGTATGATCTGTGTATGCTAACAAGAACTTACACAAGTGCATACTGAATTTAACTTGACGGTCTACCACTGCTTCTTAAACACAGAAATGTAATAAATGCTGTCGATTATTATCTTATTGGATGTAGTCAAGCTTATACTAGCAAGCTATATATACAATTATAGAGTGTAGAGGAACACTGCAGGAAAGAAAGATGCAAATTAGCCCAGATATCTATACAGAATTCATCAAAACTGCAGCACAGGAAATTCTGGATGGTCTGTTAGTAAAATTACTGCAAGGCAAACAGCATCATTGTCATAATTCAATTAAAATGCTCTAAAACCTGCTTTTTAACTAAGTGTAGATCTTTGCCTTAAAAATAAATTAATTTAAATACAAGATGAGGAAAAATAGTGATTTTCTTTTCTCAGTCATTGCATACCTGGCATGTTCTCCTTAAATTCTCTTTACATTAGAGTTTTAAATATTTTTATTCAGCCATAAACTGACACACAAAATAGGACCCAGTGAGATCCACTAAGATAGATTATGGTGATTTCTGATGCAAAAGGTATCTGGGGTCATGGAGATTTTACATTTTAAATGTACAGTCGAGAGCATTTAATAACATTCACACTATGTGGAGCCTATATTAAAAATCTCACATTATACTGCATTTAGCAACACAACATTCATCTTCACTCAAATATTAACATCATCTCTAAAAGATATCGACAAAAGGCCTTTTTATCATCGATGTGATCAATTGTAAGAGGATAAAAAGTTAAAAAGATTGTGCATTAATATATAATATATATGATCCCTAAATTCTAAAGCTCTCTGTCACTGTCCTGACACTGATGACAGACTGATTGTGGAAGGAATTATTTTAAATAAAATGAATGACAAACTAGCATCTACCTGGGGTTTCAAGAAAGACATAATGTGCAGCAAAAGTGGAGGAAATGGAGAGAAGACCTGTTCCTCATAACTAACCTGAGGTTTGAGTTAGCCCTCTGGCTTTGAGCTTTTCCTCATTACAGGGTTCACAAATTTTACTTGGCCTCCTTTTTTGGAACAGGACTCTAAAGTGTAATGAAATGCAATTTATTAGGTAGACTTTAAGAAAGGAGATTTTTTTTCTTACTGTCTATGACTTGGAGCTTGCTGACTTGACCTGGTGTGGAACAAAAGAAAAGGAAAGCTGCAGTGTAATGTGATGATGGCTCTGAAGAAGGGTTAAATAATCTTGTACTGATTATTGTCATCCACTTGTCGAGTAATTAATTAAAGTAATGTATTGCTTTAAAGCTCTAGCTGACTCAAAGGGACATTTATGTGCTCTCTGCCTCTTCCTCAGCTCCTACAAGCGAGCCCCTTGGACTGTGCGTCGACGACGTCAGTGACACTTCTATCACGTTGAAGTGGCGGCGGCCTGAGAGAATTGGCTCAGCTGACCTTGAGGGCTATGGGATTGAGTACTGCAAGGAGGGCAGTACGTACCGGAGCAAGTTGCATTTATGCTAATTTCCACATCATAACTCTGTGATTTGAGTTTATTTGAATTTTTTGTGGTTTCTGGCAACAGCTGATGAATGGATACCAGCAATGGAGGGTCTGACAGAGAGGACGTCGACGGTGATCAAAGGCCTCACCACCGGAGACAAGCTGCAGTTCCGTGTGCGAGCCTACAACATGGCGGGACCAAGTGCTCCCGCCACTCTGGCTCAGCCCATCACCATCAGAGAGATTATGCGTGAGTAATTATAGATTACACGCTTCATTATTCGCTTGCATCCTTTAGTTCCCTACGTGGACGTGATACACAATACTCAGCCATTTTTTTCATACTCTTATTTTGTGTTTTATTTTCACAGAACGCCCTAAAATTTGGCTTCCAAGAAATCTCCGTCAGACTCTTATCAAGAAAGTTGGAGACACCATGAACATCGTGATTCCATTTCAGGTGGCTTCATGAACACATGAAACACAACAAGGGATGTTACCTATGTTTGATATCAAAGTAAAACATGACTGATGTCTTTATCATTATTGGTCATATCTGGTGGTCATATCAGTGTGACTGGATGGATAAAAAGGGTAGGATTATTTCACCTTTCCCAGCACGGACATAAAAAAATGTAAACCTTGGTCTAAAGACGGCGCCAGGTCAAAAGTCACTTTCATGTTAACATGTAGGCTGTCAGTAATTAGGAATGAGGCCACTTAAGAATCTGCTCTTTGGAATCAGGAAACTTCACCTGTAAGGTCAGATAATTGCTTGTAAAACTTGTTTGGGGGAAAATTCACAGTAGTTTCCTCAAAAGTATTTAAGATTTTTTAACTCTGGATCAAAGCAGTGTAGTGATGCCACTTTGAGGTCAACCACTTTCAAAATGAGGTGCCTTTGATATTGACCATAGACTGGTCCAGGTCCAGGTCTGAAAAGGGAAGCCACAGTAGAAATGTTTTGAACCCACACTCTAATGGACCAGCAGGGGGTGAGTCCTGAGTTTGTAAAAAGAAGACAGGTTGTACTGACGTCTATAGAGAACTGCTCCTCATCTCCCTCACTCTATCACCTCAGCCCTGATTGTGTTCAAAGAAGGAGTTTGCAGTTTTGTTTTGACAAGCTGACCAACTGTGGCAACGCTGAGCAATGTTCTGTTTATGAGCTGCTGTTTGAACTTGTAAGTGTGACAGGAGAGAGCTGAAAGGTTGCTTTTCTTGTCTCTTATTTGCAGACAAACACAGAAGCAATCTGAGTTACAGCCATTCCTTTCTCTTTTCTTGTGATGCAGGGGAAACCCAGGCCAAAAGTCACATGGAGCAAAGATGGGGAGCCCCTAGATCCCACAATAGCTAGTGTTAGGAACAGTGAAGTTGACACGATATTCTTCATCCGCAAAACAGAGAGAAAACATTCTGGGAAGTATGAGCTCCAGGTGCAGATTGAAAACGTGGAGGACAAAGCAGCAGTAACACTGCAGGTCGTTGGTAAGCAGAACTGAACAAATGGAGAGCTACGTTTGACTTCTAATCGGAGTATAAAAAATCACTGCATTAAAACAGCACCACAGATGTTTTGTCAGTGGGCACTGAATGAGAGCTCCTATTTTTTTTTCCTTCTACAGACCTTCCAGGCCCTCCTGAGGCTCTAAAGATTGTTGATACCTGGGGTTTTAATGTGGCGCTTGAGTGGAAGCCTCCAAAGGACAACGGAAACTGTGAAATAACCGGTTACACCATTCAGAAAGCCGACAAAAAGACTATGGTGAGACTGTGCTAGAAAGCTTTTTGGAGTCCAGCTGGATCCAAACACTAGTTCTCGCTTTTGCTTTTAGCATGTTTTTCCATGCTTTTCCACCCAATAATGAGCAGCTCAATTCAATAAAAGCAGAGATTAATTTAATGTTTTAATTTACCTAATACTTTCCTGTCCCTTTTTCCACCTTTCAGTACCAAAAGTTACATAGAGCAGACGTTCAGGTTAGGAAAATCCTGGTGGACAGAATCTATTGGAAGCACTTTTGCTCCACTTTCTTGTGGTACCATGCCTGTTCCAACTTTATGGTACCTGTGCCAGTAATAGAAATTTGTGCAATATGTTCCACATGGGGAACCTTTGGTAATTTTTGTTGCTAGTGCGTTTCTCCAGTGGTCAGGTTAGGTAGAAGAGATAATAACACTGAAATCTAAATTTCTTTCTCCCTGGCCCAACCGTCTGTGGTCCTGGATGAGGTCAGATTAATATCTTAGTCTCCCTCCTGGAACATATCCTCTAATTACAGCAGCTTATGCTGAACATGCAGTTTCTGCTGGCACACGGGAGAAGTTTGGTTTCTGGAATTTGTATTTGGAAACATCTGCATAGTTTTGTTACCTAAATGTAACCAAACTATTTTTTAAGTTAGCAAAGTCTAAATATAAGTCAGCAGTTAACAAAGATTTATTAAATCAATGAGGCTTGGGACTCTCAAGCAAGCCCTACTTATCCACCACAGCCTGCTCCCAGCACCAACTTAGTCAGTCAGTATATTACAGTTGTGGTCAGTTTACATACAGTTTTTAAGTTTACATAAACTCATCATGGGCATAAATGGTAACGGTAAATGGCCTGTATTTGTATAGTGCTTTACTAGTCCCTAAGGACCCCAAAGCGCTTTACACAACCAGTCATCCACCCATTCACACACTGGTGATGGCAAGCTACATTGTAGCCACAGCCACCCTGGGGCGCACTGACAGAGGCGAGTAATGTTATAGTAATTTGTTTTTTAAATAATTTCTTTCAGCTGTTAACCTATGGTATTTGGTTAATTGTCCCTTATCAAGTTGCACCTTGACCAGACACTTCTGGTGGCCATCAACAAGCCTCTGGCATCACACAGACCCAATTTCTAAGGAGGCCTACACATTTTCAGTAGGGTTTAGGTTGGGAGGTTCGCGAAAGAAGCTAAACGTTTTATCCACTGCAAAGCAGGTTTTGATGTGTGTTTGGGATCATTGTCTTTTTGGAACATCCGTCTGTGTCCAAGTTTGATTATTCCGTCCACTTTGTGCAATGCAGCAGTACCACTGGTAGAAAAGCAGCCCCAAAGTATGATGTTACCACTTTGACCATGCTTAAGAGTTGGTACGTTTTACTCCTCCAAACATACCTCTTGTCATTTTGGCTAAACATCTTAATTTTTGTCTCATCTAAGCACAAAACTTTTCTCTAGAAGTCATTTGGCCTGTTCGGGTGTGCAGCTGCAAACTTCAGTCCACCTTGAAAATGCTGATTTTGGAGCAAAGGCTTCTGCTGTGGTCAATAACCTCTCAGTCTGTGGCGATTTAAACCTTATTGTGAACGGTAACACTGGTGTTCCAACAGTTTCCAGTTAGTGGCAGCTTTGAGCCTTGGTGGTTCTCATCTGATGTTTACATTTCTTTCTTAGCAAAATGGTAGCAGATCTAAATAACTTGTAGTTACGTACAATTGTGTAAACTCCTTATCTTGAAATCTGCAGTTGTTTAGAAACGTCTCCAAGAGACCTTCCCAATTCTACAATTCTCCTTCCTAGATCCTATTGTTAGTATTGGTTACTCCAGTGAGTGCTTGTTAAGATATAAGGCAGAACCTTTCAAAACCATTTATTAAAAAATTAAAGTGACTTTAATGGCGAGCCCGTTGTGTATATTTGAGCCTTTTTGCTGACATTTGATTCTGTGTGGATTATCGAAAACTGCAAATAAATTTGATCTTGAACACCCAATTCTTGTTTTTTAAAGTCAAATTCAGACTCTTCCCAGTAACTTTCCTCTGTGGGTCACTAGTGATGTAATATCTGGCCTCCTGGCAAGAGCTCCAACTGCCACCATCCTCCACCTCGAGCCGCCAGGAACAGTGTCAGCCAGGAATGTCCTAATCTTATCCTTGTAGCTTTGAGCTGGTCCAGATTGTCTGCACAGTGACGCAGGACCATTGTTCCCCTGCCAGCACAGCAAGTGCTCATGTTTCACTCCAGCCATTATTATTAGATCAAATTAAGTTTGCTTGCAACATAGTGAG